TTGAGAGAACTTGGGCTTCAAGGCCGAGTCAACTTGTTCTTCACGCTTCATATCGATCGATGGTACATGGTGTACATCGATCAATGGAGTATCTCAATTCGTCATCCTCTTTGGAAGCATCGTCGTTCGATTACACATGATGTATATCGATCGATATGTATCTCTGGATATCGACCTTATTGTCTGATCTTTATAGTCATCTCAAGAAATCTCTCCTTTAAGTTCATAAGGGCACCTAAATCATCACTTTACTCCAAAATGCTCTTGAACCTGAAAACATACCTAATAGACTCCAAAAAAAAAATATATATATATATATATATATATATATATATATATATATTATAAAATCATATAAATACCATGGTTAAAAGTGGGTCAAAACCATGGTATATCAGAAAGCTCCATATGCAAGACACCACGTTGGTTTTTCCTATCCACCTCCATTAAATATCCTAAAACATCTTCATCATCCAAAATATAGCAAAGCCTCTTATCATCCACGACCAGGGGATAATAACTCAATTGAAGGTTCGTCACAGCTACAACTATATTCATTTTATTGCCTATTCTATCAACCAAGCGAGAATAAGTAATCTCCTCATATTTTCCTTTCATCACTAGTGTGGAAATATTTCGGTCCCCAACATGATCAAAATGTATCACCACAGCTCCACTACAATCCATAGTTCCTGAAAATGAGTTAAACCAAAATTACAACTTATCAGTTATACCACTTATACGAGTTCTACTGTCGCTAAAATATTGGTTATACTAGTATTACCAGTTATACATGTTTACATGTAACAATAATTATAAGTTATACTAGGAATACTAGTTAAACTAAGTTGACTTTGCCCATGACTACTAAGAGTTATACAATTTTTAACCATACTCTTATTTAATGTTATTTGGAGTTGTACCGGGTTTACTAGTTTAATGTTTTGTACAACCAATATAGTTCTGTTAATTGTACTAGTGTTACTTTTCGTTAGTTGTACCAGGTTTACTAGTTTAACGTTTCGTATAACCAATATCACTAATACTAATTATGTCAGTTGTACTAATTTACTTTATGTCAGTTGTACTAGTGTAACCATTTTATAATGAATTTTGACTTAATAGTTGTATCAGTTATACCAATGTCAAAAACGATTTAATTTACAATATCATGATTTATACTTTAACAACATTATATTAAACATTGGAACCTGACTCATGACGTTAACATACCTATTATGTGACTAAAACGAAATAGAAAACAAATAAAAAAAACAGAGGCAGAGAAGAGTGAGAGAGAAGGAGAGGGAGAGAATATATACTTACCAAGCGATTTGACGACCAAGGACGCAGCACTTTTGTTGTTTCAAGACGTTGTAAGCTGTAGATCAACCCTAAGAAACATCACTGAGGTCTGTAGATAAAAACTTGAAGAAGAGAACTTTGGTTGCTGAAGGAAATGAATTTTCGTGGTAGTTGATGGCGTAATGAAGAAAAAGAAGATGGGAGTTAATTTTTGAGTGGGACCCCGGCAAGAGAGAAGGAGAAATGAAGAAAACTGGACAGCTTAGATTAGATCTCGCCTTATCTAGTCTAATAGTTCACAATAAATATTCATTAAAGGTAAAATATTCTTTTTACACCCATTGATCTATGATAGCTTTGTTTTGGTGGTTGATTAGTTTTGGGCTTTTGGTCCATAATAAATTTTGGTTCAATTGTATTACATATAAAAAAGACTCATGATTATAGAAGAGACACTTATTGAGATATGTTAACAATTTTTCTAAAAATAATTTATTTTATAATGAAAAGACTCAAGTCTTATTACTTAATTGTAGAAAGAAACTTATTAAGATATTTAACTACTTTTAAAAACTTTTCCAATAGTTGCATGTTCGAAAAACAAATCTCAAGATTTTAATGAAAATACATAATCTTTCAAAACTAAATGAGTATCTTATTATTATTATTATTATTATTATTATTATTATTATTATTATTATTATTATTATTATTATTATTATTATTATTATTATTATTGTTATTATTCTTATTATTATTCAGGGATATTCATGTTTATATGTGTTTTTTTCAAAAATATTTATTGATCATATAACAATCAATCTCTCCATTATCTAGTTTATATGTGATTCTTTTGATTTTCAGATTGTGATTTGTCAATGCCCACAACTCTTTATAAGAGGAGCAATGGTTAGTTACTACCAAATTACAATGATTTATCTCCAAAAATATTTGTCACCACAATTGGAATTGTTCATTACCAAAAATTGCAATGATCCATAAAAGCCAACAGTTGCAATATTTCATTTAAGCAGTTGTAGTTGTTCAACCAAACACTTGCAATGATTTACTTACACGGATGCAAGAATTCATTTAAATTGTTAATAATCATTCATATTGACGTGTAATAGTGATTCATCAAAATATATAGCACATATATCAGGCTGATGCATAAAGAAAATTGTTTTAATCAATGCAATTATTAGGAAAGATACATATTTTTATATATTTGACAATTTATTTTATACTTATGCAAGTTTTAGAATGAAGAAACACATTGTTAGGATAGAAAGACACATTTTACATTTACGCAACTTTTAAACTTATATAATTATTAAAGAGAATTTGCACTCTCTACCCATACAATTTAGCATATTTAGTCATCTACCTAATTACACTATTGGCAGTACCTTTTTCTCTTATTTGTTTTCACTCCAACCTCACTTTTTCCTCTAAAGTTTTGTTCTCTAAGGTAAATCTCCAATATCTAAGTTCTTTTAGTATATTCACCCAATTGACTCATTATTAAAATGAAAAGATACAGTTTTAAGATAAAAAGATATATTTTGATAAAGTATTTCAATCTATTCAACTTTTAAGATGAAAAGACATTTTTTAAAAAAATGAAAAGACACAAAGTTTAACATTTGCTTGGCTTCCAGAGTATGTGATCATTATGAGATAGAACATTAACAATATATTATGAATATACACATTATTACATAAAACACTCTATTATTGAGATATTTTAACAATTTAATAAAAATTAATTGGTCTTTTAAATGAGAATATATCACTCTTAAAACTAAAAATTATAGAAAACATTTATTGATTGAAATATTTTTAATTACTTTTAGTCTTTTACAGTAGTTGCATGTTGAGAAAACAAAACTAATCTCAGTTTTTGTATGAAAATATACAACTCTTATAAAGAGAATGCATAACTTAAATTAATAAATACATTTATTATAATATTATAATTACCTTTTAAAAATTATAATAAAATGTTGTAGTTGCATGTTAAGTAGTTGCGTGTTGAAAAAATGTGGAAAGACATTTCTTGAGATATTTTTAATACTTTTTAAACGTTTCAATAGTTGCATATTAGGAAAACAAAACTATATCAGTTTTATGAAAAAAACAAAACTATAATGTGAAGACATAACTTTTAAAATTAATAATTAGAAAGACACTTATTAAGATATTATGTTAGTGTGTTAAGTCCCACATCGGTAATCTCAAAGAGATTCAAGTAATATATAATACACATGAGCCAATTCACCTATTGCCTTAAGGTTTTGGGTTGAAAGCTCATGGTTTATCATGGTATCAGAGCGTGTTTCGATCGTTGGGGCACCCCGTGGATGTAGTCCCACAAATATTCCACGCTTCAGATGGTCATGCCTGAGCGTGAGGGGGGGTGTTAGTGTGTTAAGTCCCACATCGGTAATCTCAAAGAGATTCAAGTAATATATAATACACATGAGCCAATTCACCTATTGCCTTAAGGTTTTGGGTTGAAAGCTTATGGTTTATCATATTATAACCGCTTTAAAAAAATCAAATAGTTGCATATTAAAAAAAAAAAAAAACAAAAATAATCTCAGTTTCTTATGAAAAGACACAACTCTTAACATTAAAGAAACTTTCTATTATTAATAGATTTTAAAAATAATATGTCTTTATAATAAGAATATATAATTCTAAAACTAGTAATTGTCAAAGTTATTTCCTTGGATATTTTTCTTAAAAAAATTCATAGACACGAACTATTTATAGTTTTCCAAAATTATATTTAAAGAATCACAACTTTTCAAATTATAAATATTTTTTTAAAAATAATATTTTCACAATATATTTTAAAGAGACACATCTTTACAAATATAAAAAGACACTTGTTGAGAGTACTCAATAGTTGTATACTGAAAACATATAATCTTTCAACATTAATTGAGACTACTCAATAGTTGTATGTTGAAAAGATATAATCTTTCAACATTAATTAGAATTGCTATTACAAATATAAAAATGACTTATTATATATATTTGATAACTGTTTATTGAAAATACACCATCTTTTAACATTAATTGAGATTTTTCAATAGTTATATATTGAAAAGACACAATTTTTCAATATTAAATATAATTGCTATTATTAATAGATTATGATAATATAATTAATGATATGATATATTGTTAAGGTGATATACTTATTAAAATTGTTAAACTTAGTAAAAAAAAAAGAAATTCAATTAATATAATAACTTGTTGAAAAGAAGGTTAGTTTTATTTGTATTTCAGTTTTAATAGTAAAGATAGATAGATAGATACAACATTTGTTTAAGGGGAAATAGTTTTAAAATGGTACTATATTATATTTTGACCCCAAAAAAATGGTACTATATTATTCTCTTCTTTTTTTGTACGTAATATTTTCTTGTACAGCTGTTTCTTACTGCAAATTCCTTTTAGTTTTATTTGTATTTCAGTTTTAGTAATATAGATTAATACATCATTTGTTTTAAGGGGAAATAGTTTTAAAATGGTACTATATTATATTTTGACCCAAAAAAAATGGTACTATATTATTCTCTTTTTTTTGTACGTAATATTTTCTTGTACAGCTGTCTCTTACTGCAAATTCCTTTTAGTAAACTTTTTGCATAACTTATTATCAAAACGCATACTACGAATACAAAAGCCTTATTCCAAAACTCTCTCACACACAAACTCATATTCCTTTTTCATTCGTCTCATTTTCTCTCATGGCGAGTAGTAGTGGAAGCCTCAACATCCACACCGACGACAAGACGCCGGGAAAGTGGAGCGTACCGCTCGGAGAGGAAGTTTTTCGGAGGTTCTTGAGCGGCGGCGGTGGCTCGGAAAAGGCTGTGTTCAGCGAGGGATCTATTTTCAGCCCGTTTTTGTTCGGGAAATACTTTGATCCGTCAGATGCGTTTCCGCTATGGGAGTTCGATGTTGATGTTTTGCTGGCGAGACTCAGGAGCTTAGGACAGAGTAGAGTTGATTGGTCTCAAACCGATCGAGCTTATGTCCTTAAATCTGACCTCCCCGGTATATATTTTCTTACTATTCTCTATTTTTTTTAGCTTTTCAAGATTAAAAAATGACATATACATTGATCTATATCTGAGTGATCCAACGAAAAGAAAGTGATACAAAAATAAAACGGAATGTTAGTTTATATACAAAAAATTAAAATGAACTGAATTTGGTTTTGTTAAGCTAAAGATAATACTATTTGCTTAAAACATAAATATTTTGGTTTTCCTTTTAACTAGTTACGTTTTGTTTGAAGTATCGAACTGTACAACTTTACGTACTAGCTAATGAGAAATACGGAAATAATCAAACAATATCAAATAATAATATCATCATATTTTGTAATTCATTTCTTGAGGTTTCAAGAAAAAACTGATCAGAATTTTTTTGGATACTCTTGTATATTAGTGGTGGGGAAAAATAACGTGCAGGTGTATGTGGACGTTAATGGAAAAGTGATGGAGATTAGTGGCCAGTGGAAAACGACGGCCAACGGAGACTGGAGAAGCGGTCGTTGGTGGGAATACGGCTACGTCCGTCGACTCGAGCTTCCTTGCGACGCCGACCCCAAAAACTCGGAAGCTTTCATCTCCATCAAAGACGACTACTCTTTCTTAGAGATCAAAATCCCCAAGATTGACTCTTAACAACAAATTTTAATCTGATGTGTCATTGGCCCTTGATGAGTATTAATTTAGTTTTTTCTTATATTGAATGATATGTGATACCTCTATGTGGTGGAAACACAAAGATTATGAATGATATAATACATGCATATATACTAAAATAATTTAATATGTAAAAAGAATTTAAAAATATAAATAATACAATAAATTGATGTTTAATTAAAAATTTGAACTAACTAACTAATAATAATTGAACTATATTATTATATAAAATATAATAAATATGTATTTTTAAATTTTGGTGTAATAAATAGTGGTACACCAAATTACACCATTACACCAAATTATACTATTACACCAGATTTGGTGATATGATATCAAATTTGTTATCTTGTGGGTAGGAATTTACAACAAATTTGATGTTTTCGTGTCATTGTTGGAGATGACCTTAAAGACATTGATCATATTTTTTTTGTTAATCAAGAATTACTTATTTCTCAAACTACATTTATCTTCTGGCTAGGCATTATTAATGTATTATCATTGGGTTCTAACTTCTCACTATTTATTCGTTCAAAAAAAACCTTCTCATTATTTATATTGAAAATTTGTTCAAATCAATACCATTAAAATACAAATATTATGTTTAATAATTTTTTATGTTTTCCAGTTATACCCTTATTCTTATATACAAATTTAATTAATCATTAATGACAATTTTGTCATTTTTATTTGGGCCTAAAACTTTATAATAATGGATTTCATTAATGGGCCGATTCTCTTTCAAATTTTATAAAATATTTCTTACAAAAATATATTTTCTTTACAGATCAGACATGTCACATTTTTGAGTCGTAAAAATGACTCAATCCGCTGCAGAGCGGGTTGGACGAAGCAAGTTTGACATGCTTCCCAACATCAGGCGTAGTTAATTAATATTATTTTTTCCAAATAAAACTACACAATTATATACAATACATTGATATAGATATTGATGATAATACTAAATTAAAATCTGCATTAATTTTAAAAATTTATATTAAATAGTGAAATTTTGTAACTAAATGATTTTATGAATTAATCACAAAACTAAAAAAAATGGGACATTAATTGTTAAATATAAAATATTTTTCAAATACAAATTTAAGGTACACATATATTTAGAAAAATACAAAATTTGTTTGAGACATTATAGAACAAAAGTTTCTTTATACCCACATGATAACTTGATATAGATTCTGTGACATTTTATATCATCAAAGCAAAAGATTTATCGATTCATCTATAGATAAAACAACAAAAATAGGGTCAAAATTTTAATTATCTTTAAATTTCAGTTACAAGAATTAATTGTAGATGTTAAGTTACAAAATTATTGTCTCATACCAATAAATACTAACTACTCCTATTTACTATTCCCTCCATTTCACTTTAGTTGTCATTTTAGGTTTTTACATGCAGATTAAAAAAAATATTTAATTTTACATACTTTCAAGATAAAACACATTTATTTATACACCTAACCACTTTTCAACCAATAGAAAATAGAATATCATATAAAGTAAATAAATTTTATCTTGAAACTCTAAAACGATACTTATTTTAAAACAAATTTTTTTCTCTAGAATGACAATTAATTAGAAACAGAGGGAGTAGTAGATAAACATGGTTTTATTTACAAATGGGTACTTCAGTTTTTATTAGTATCAAATGTTAGTTTTATTATGGTTTTCGATTGTTATTATTTTTCTGGAATATGTTCACTAATAGCTTTTCCCCTACACACAACTTAGAAAGTCACCGGATCCAAATCAAAATATGAACTGTCAAACTCGAGTTTAGAATTTTTCATTTAAAAAAAAACTAAAAGCAAATTAGAACATTCCATCTCAGATCTGAATATTCTTTCTATGATAAAATTTCATCATATTAGCAATTCCCTTTTTTTGTTCAAACTAAAATTTTCATTAAACTTATGAAAGAGAGTTTGGTACAGAGTCAGCATTGCCATTTAGCTGATCTTAGAATGAAAATAATCTGGATGGAACTTAAATAAAAAATCAAAGTGGTCGATATCTTGGAGAATACCAAATAACTCTATCTTCATCTCTTGGTGATTAATGATGTTGATGAGCAATTGAAAATCCGAGAGAACTGAGATGGTTTCAAATCCACGAGAAAGGGCAAAATTTATGGTTGATCAAACGGCCAAAGTTTCTACTATAGGGGCGACGATACATGTTCTGCTGTTGACTTCCAAAAAATACATCTGCGAGAGAAGAACATCCCATCCCTGTGGAGATGAGGCACAACTTTTATCTTTCCTTAAAGAAAACATTAGAACATTTGCTTGGACGGCCGCCGCTATGCATGGGATCGACATCGCAATACTGTCTCACCATTTAAATGTCAATCTCACACACATACCAGTAAAGCAGAAGCGAAGAATATTGGGCCTTGAGCGTGTGAACGCCGTGAACAACATAATCGACAAACTGCTGAAGATCGGCTCTATCCGCGAAGTCTAATGCCCGGACTGGATGGCCAACCCCGTCGTGGTAAAAAAGAAGAATGGGAAATGGAGAATTTGAATTCATTTCACCGACCTCAATAAGGCTTGTTCGAAAGACAGCTTCCCGCTACCGCATATCGACCGCTTGGTAGAAGCCACAGCCGGATATGAATTACTATCGTTCATGGACGCATTCTCAGGTTACAATCAGATCCTCATGAACCCAGAGGACCAAGATAAAACGAGTTTCATCACCGAACGTGTCACCTACTGTTATAACGTAATGTCTTTCGGCCCCAAGAACGCATGGGCCCAACCTACCAACGACTAGTGAACAAAATGTTCGCCGATCATCTCGGTAGAACGATGGATGTCTACATCGACGACATACTCATCAAATCATCAAAAGCGAGCGATCATGTCCTCCAACTCCAGGAATGCTTCAAATCCTCAATAAATTTGGGATGAAACTAAACCCGACCAAATGCACCTTCGAGGTAGCCTCAGGAGAATTCATCGGGTATCTGGTAACAAAAAGAGAAATCTAAACTAACCCTAAACAGATCACAGCACTCGTAGACACTCTACCGCCAAATTCCATCCGAGAAGTGCAACGACTTACCGGAAAAATCGCAGCACTGAATCGCTTTATCTCGAGTCGACCGATATGTGTTTTCCACTCTACAAGCTCCTGAAAGGAAACAAAAAGTTTGAATGGAACGAGGAATGTGATATCATGTTAAAGAAACTCAAAACATATATAAGCCAGCCTCTAGTGTCGTTAAAACCAGTCAAGGGCGAAACATTGTTCCTATACGTGTCCACTTCGGAACACGCAGTCAGTAGCGTGCTAATCCGAGAAGAAAACGGCAAGCAAAAAACGATATATTACACCAGCAGATCTCTGATAGTAGCCGAAACAAGATATCCCACCATGGAAAAATTGGCCTTAGCAGTCGTCACAGCCGCAAGAAAGTTAAGGCCATATTTCCAATAACACTCGATCATAGTAATAACATAACAACCGTTGTGAACCATTCTTCACAGCCCACGCCAATCAGGGAGATTAGCGAAGTGAGCGATCGAACTCAGCCAGTATGATATCGATTATAAACCCTTGACGAGCTCGAAATCCAAATTTTTGGCCGACTTTGTTATCGAGCTCGATCCCAAAGAGGTTGATTCGAACTTCAACTCGAAAAGGTGGAAATTACATGTCGACGGTGCATCTTCGAAACAGGGATCGGGGATCAGAATACAGCTCGAATCCCCAACCAGAGAAATAATCGAACAATCATTCCGTGTAGGATTCAATGCCTCAAATAACGAAGCCGAGTACAAATCCCAAATCGCTGGATTGCGACTTGCTTGAAACATCGAATTCCGAGAAATAAGAGCACCCCCATCAAGGGATGATGGGGGGAGTTCACACGCAAACCAAAAAAAAAATATTAAAGTCAGATTTCTATGAACCCCTCTCTCAAAAGTTCACTACGGTGAACCCTGATGACCCCGGGTTCACCATGTGTCAGCTATTGATTGGTCCATTATTATTATTATTATTATTTTTTTAAAAGTAAACATAAAAAAATTAATTTTTTATTTGTGTGAACCCCCAAGGGGGGTTCATCAATGTGGTTGCTCTAAGTGCCTTCAGCGACTCACAATTAGTCACGAGTCAGTTCCATGGGGAATACGAATCCAAAAACGAAAGAATGGAAGCGTACCTTCAAGTCTTGCGGGAAATCACAAAACAGTTCAATAAATTTGAACTCACGAAAATACCTCGAGGCGAAAATACGTCAGTAGATGCCCTCGCCGCACTTGCACTGACTTCCAATCCCGCAATAAAACGAGTAATACCGGTGGAAGGAATAGAAAAACCAAGCATCGATCTCCATGCAAAGAAAGCAACTCGTCGGGAGGCGTCCATCACCAGATAGGATCGATTATTACCAGAAGCAGAGCCAGGGGCGCCACTCAGGGCAACGCCGAAGAAACGCGTCAAGATGAAGAAATCATCGATTACCCCTGCAGCGAGGACCTCATAACGTCGCAAAGGCCCACGAGAAGTTTTGCATCGCTTCCCCGAGCGAGAAAAGCAGGTGGTTCGTCGATCCCTCTCGAAGATGCCAAACATGAGCCTGACACAGAGGCGCACAAAGCTTTCTAGAAAGAACTCGAAAATAGAATCGACTGGAGAATCCCGATCCACAATTATATCAGTACTGGCGAACTCCCCGTGGAGAGGGGGGAAGCTAGGAAGGTGAAAGCCCGGAGCTCGCGCTACTGCGTTATGGAGGAGAAACTATACAAACGAAGTATAGGAAACCTTACCTACTATGTGTTTCTCCCAAAGACGCCTTTACAAATTTAAAGCAAACTCACGACGGATCATGTGGAAGCCACTCAGGCGGCAGATCTCTAGCCATCAGGATTAAGAAATATGGATACTTTTGGCTAACAATCGCCTATGACTGTGAGCAATTCTCGTTAAAATGCGAGAAAGGCCAATGACACATGCCTATGATACATCAGCCCACTCAAAAGCTCTCATCGATATCTTTACCGTACCCTTTCATGAAATGGTCCATGGACGTAGTTGGACCGCTAGTACCATCCGGACCAACAAGATT